GGGGCCGCAGGGGCCGCGGGAAAGCTGCAGGGCAGGAGGAGCTCTCGGGCCACCACCGAGCGGAGCAGCAGCGAGCCCGACTCGGACGGCAGGAGGACCTGGAGGGAGGAGTCCAGGGGGTTCCAGCCGGGACCTGGTCCTCCCAAGGTCTCCTCGTACTTGGCCAGTAGCAGCCATCCACGGGCCTGAAAAGGGAAACCCACGTGCGGTGACTCTTCTCCGGAGGGGGTGGGTGTCTGAGCACACGCCCAGTGGGGAAATCAGAACTCCCCCCCCCCCCCCCCCCGCCCGCCCGGGGGGGCGGGGGCGCCGTNNNNTTAGCCCTGGATGGACAGCTTAGCCCCTCCCGACGGTCGCCAGTCCGCTCCACCCAGCCAGCCTTTGCCATGGCTTTTCCGACCAAAGGATGGGAATGGCTGGCACCTGCATGTGTGGGGTTGACCCCCATTGCTGCAGACCGCTCGCTGGTCGCTGGTCAGAGCCGCCCCCCCGGCCCAGCCCCCAACTCACCCACAGGCAGCGGCAGAGAGCTTGAAAATGCTGCTGGTTGGCCTCCAGTTCATCCCAGTTCAACTGCCAGCAGCTTGTGGGCAGGACGATGACCGAGGGCCCGAAGAGCAGAGATGAGCAGAGCCCCGTGGCCTTCAGCGCCCTGGGAGAAAGCAGCTCTCATCAGGTGTGGGGCCTCGGGGTCCTGTTTGGTGCTGGGTGGGGCTGGAGAAGGCGCTGTTGGACTGCTGGTGTGGGAGAGGGGACTGACTGTGCCGCATTCATGCATACGTGGGCCTCTGCCTTTCCAGTTGACCCAAGGCGGCCTGGAGGCAGGCGGTGCAACGTGGCCTCTCCCAATTGGAAGAGGTCCTTGTCCAATCTGTCCCCTGGACAGGGAAGAGATGGCATTTGTCTTCAGGGTGGAAAGGATTGTCACTCCTGAATTGGCCTTCTCAGCCACACTAGACACTGTCCCAAGTCCTCTATTCAGAGCATGTGACCATCATCTCTCGAGACTGAAGGATGCCTACTCTGGCAGCAAATGGGCAGGGCAGGGAGTGGGGAGGCAGGCAGGCAGGCATGGGATTCCTTAACAGCTACAGGGGAACCCAAAAGGGGGCTCGGGATGTCTTGACTGTCCTTGCCTAGCCCCTAACTCTGTCCCTCTCCAGACGCTGCTATCCTGACCCCTTTCCCAGCCACTGGGCCAGTTGAGGAGGGGATTCCTCCCATGCCTGCCCTGGCATTCGCTTGGAACCGGAGGCAGGGCTCCAAAGTCAAGGCAACCGGTAGGAAGGCCTGCTGCCAGAGAGAGAGGCAGGCAGGCAGGCAGGCAGGAGGCAGCCAGAGGGACACACCCAGCTCCACTATCCAAAGCAGGTACATGGAGAAAGGCCTGCCCCCCCCCCGGGCCACTGGCCTTGGCCCTCTGGCTCTCTCATGGTTTCCTCTTAGCCCTTGCTTGCTCCTGTAAGAATAGCACCCCCTAATCCCACCCCCACAAGTACCTGAGGACTCTGAGCTTGCGTGGGGCCAAGAGCTGGGTGGGGGCTGCCCAGAAACCGCCTTGAACGGCACCACGGCTGGCCTCTTCTGCACTTCCGTGTCTGCCACCCAGAAGAAGGAGCCAGGGGTGGAGGATCCTCTCCTGGAAGTCACATTTCACACACGCTGCGGAGGGAAAAGTCCAAAAGTGGAAGAGAGCCCCCAGGTAGGAGGAGGGAGAGGGACCAGCCTGGAGAGGACAACCCTGCGCCTCCAAACCCAGGACCAAACTGCCCCTGCCCCCCGACTTCTGCCAAGCAGGCAGTCAGACCGCCCTGCAGGTGCCACATGCTGGACGGCCCCCACATGTCCTCCCACCTCCTCCCTGCACAGCGGCTTTGGCCAGACCCTTTTCTAGTCCTGGAGGTTGAGTTGGTTTGCTCTCAGGAAGGAAACGGGTCTGGGTGGTGGGACCTTTTTCCTTCCCTTGCGAGGGAGCGTGCCCACCAGACAGGTGCCTCTCAACCAGACAGGTACCTCAGAGGCAGGAGAATCAAGGGGGATCCTAGCACCATGGGGTTGGAAGGGGTCAATAAGGCCATCGAGTCCCAACCCCCTGCGCTCAAGGCTGGCCTCCCAATCAAAGCAGATCTGACGGATGTCTTCCTCCACCCCAGAGATGGCACAGAGTGTTCGAGAACACCGGTGAGGGTGTGGGTCAGCAGAGGGGACGTCCTTGGCCAGGCCAGGCCAGGGCAGGGCAGGCCAGGCCAGAGGGTGCAGTGCCCCGCCACCAAGCCCTTCTGCAAAGTGACCGTGGGAACAGCAGGAGGGAGGTCGGCTTACCCAGGTTGCCCCCAGGTGTGGCAGGGCAGCTGAGGGTCCCGGGGGCAGGCAGGAGGAGGTGGAGGTGTTCTTGATCGCTGCTGTGGTCCTGGAACCAGGCTTTGAAGAGCATCTCGAGGGCAACAGTGTCGTTCTCTACAGTCTGGAGGGCAATGTCTGTGCCCAAGACCGTGCCACTCTCTGTAGGGGGAAAGAATTAGGAGGAATGCCCCACCACCCCCACCAGTGAGTGCCTCCCTCCCTCCCTCCCCAGATGTTGCACAGTGGCCTTTGCTCAGGACCGCCTGGCAGGGTCCTGGAGAGAGGCCTGCCTGCGATACTGAAGAACACACCCAACTCTGCCCTGCCCGCGTCTTGTCACAGGGCCTGCTTTTGGGAAGGAGCCGACAGCTCATGGTGGCGCTACCAGCCTTCCTGGGCACCTTCTCCTATTACAGAGCAGCCGTTGCTTTTAGGCAATGAGACTGGAAGTGAATGTGAGCCCTTCCCCCAATGAATAGCAACGGCGCTGCTGTGTCTTTGGTGAGAAAAGCTGCAACAGGACAGAGAGCACAATCCTATTACTTAGGAAAAAACAAAAACCTATTCAAATTGAGCTTGGCAAGTTTCAGAGCTATTTAAATTTGATTGTTTACACCACGTATGTGCAAGTGTGGATTAATTTGAAAGGGGAAACACGTGTTTTTCGCGTGGCAGCGAGTCTCTAATCCTCCACTAGAGGTCTGTTTATTTGACTGAGTATGTGGAATCCATTCATCGAAATCCATTCCACATACTGCCCCTATACCAGATAACAGGAATTTTTATTAAAAAAGTAAAAACATCTGCTGTCCTTTGTTATCCACTGCCCAGCTGATTGGCAGCAAAGCCCGGCTTCTGCAGTCATCACCCAAAGAAAGGCAAAAACAGAGGAGGAAGAGGGATGATGGCCCAGAAAACATTGAAACTAACAGCAGTGTCACTCACGATAACAGCCTGGCTTCAACGCCTATCAGCTGGGCAGCCGACAACACAAGGGAAAAAAAGCAAAATTCAAATATCATGCTACTGCCATGTGATTATGAATCAAGCTAAGCAAGACCAATTGATGCAAATTGCAAGGTATAGTTGTGTTCAAAATTATTCAGCCCCCACTGAAATTGAATGTTTTGGCCATTTTGACATTGATTTTGATCATTCAGTCATCTTGCTTACATTTACATGAAAGAGGCACTTGTAGGTCAGAGAAATATAACCTTAAGTTTATAATGAAATAACCACAAATGTCTTTTCTGTGCTCACATCATTATTAGTTTTTATTCAACCCCCAAGTGACATTCAATGTTAGTACTTAGTACAACATCCTTTTATAGTTATAACAGCTTTTAAACGTGAAGCATAGCTTGACACAAGTGTCTTGCAGCGATCTACGGGTATCTTCGCCCATTCTTCATGGGCAAAAGCCTCCAGTTCAGTCAAATTCTTAGGCTTGCACACTGCAACTGCTTTCTTTAAGTCCCACCAGAGGTTCTCAATCGGATTTAAGTCTGGTGATTGCGATGGCCACTCCAAAATGTTCCAGCCTTTCCTCTGCAACCATGCTCTAGTGGACTTGGAGGTATGCTTGGGATCATTGTCCTGTTGAAAGGTCCAACGTCTCCCAAGCCTCAGGTGTGTGACGGACTGCATCACATTTTCATCCAATATCTCCTGGTACTGAAGAGAATTCATGGTACCTTGTACACGCTGAAGCTTCCCTGTACCTGCAGAAGCAAAACAGCCCCAAAAGCATTATTGACCCTCCGCCATGCTTCACAGTAGGCAAGGTGTTCTTTTCGTCATATGCCTTGTTCTTCCTCCTCCAAACATAGCGTTGATCCATGGGCCCAAACAGTTCTAATTTTGTTTCATCAGTCCACAGAACACTATCCCACAACTATTGTGGTTTGCCCACATGACTTTTGGCATACTGCAGTCAACTCTTCTTATTCTTGGGAGACAGCAAGAGGGTTCTGGCATGGAGACCTTCATTACACAGTGTGCGCCTTATATTGTCTGAGCTGAAACTTCTATACCCACATCTGACAAATCTTTTTTCAGTTCCTCAGCAGTCACACGGGGACTTTTCACCACTCTACGCTTTAGGTAGCGCACAGCAGTCGAAGTCAGCATCTTCTTTCTTCCATGACCAGGTAGCATTTCAACAGTGCCCTTTGCCTTGAATTTGCGAATGATGCTTCCTATGGTGTCTCTTGGTATGTTTAACTTCTTTGCAATCTTCTTATAGCCATTGCCCTTCCTGTGAAGACAAATCACCTCTTCTCTTGTCTTCCTGGACCATTCTCTTGACTTCACCATGTTTGTAACCACACCAGTAAATGTCTAGAAGGAGCTGAGTATCACAGTCATTTTAAAGCTGCCTAATTGGTGCTTATTATGCTTGATTGGTGCTCGGTGACATCCGCAGGTGTTTTCAATACCTGATCGAAAACACCTGAATGAACCTCTCTTCTTCAGAGTGGTAGTCTTTAAGGGGCTGAATAATTGTGGCAATGAAGAAACCACAAAAGAAACATTTACTACTGTATTACATAAACAATTGATGTTATTTTAGTTGCATTTGGTTCTTTAAAACGTCCTTGTAGGATTTCATTCTGAATACAATTCCAAATGTACACTATAGTCCCTAAACCCCTTTACAGCATTGGGGGCTGAATAATTTTGAACACAACTGTATATCACGAATGTCACCTTGCTCAGAGTCATCTAGCCCGCTGGTCCCCATCCCTTCCTTCTGACCCACATGGGAGATAGCACAGGGTGTTGCCAGATCCACCCATCAGGGTCCTGCAAGGGACCAAGAGGCTCCGGCAAAGGTCTCGTGGGCCCCCCCAGGGGGTTTTAATTCATCCTTCCTTCCTGTTGGTGGCCTTGGCCTGAGAAGAAGGATAGGAACACTGGCAGTCGAGCGCTGGCTGCACAACTGATGAGACCAGGAAAGGTCTGGCTTTATGGATGGAGATCTGTATTTCCACAGAGGAAAGAACTTCTCCTACAAACCTGTTTGCCAGAAGTCTTGGTCCACCGAGTCGGGGTGTGTGTGTGTGTTAAACAGAGCTCTGCTAGGGAGGGCGCTCCTTCAGGCACAGCAACAGGGTCCTGACAAGGACTAGGGGAAAACTGGTCCCTAAAGAGGGAATAGTGGCCTAAGTTGGGTGGGACGGGACGGGCCACTCGTGGGATCAAGGATGGTGAGAGGAGTCAAAGAGTGCGCTGGACTTTAAGAAAGAGGAATCCAAGAAGCTTCAGGAAATGCCGGCAGAGAGCAGAGGGCCAGAAGTACTGAACGGGAAGGAAGTGCACAGAGGGTGGTGCTTTCTTAAATGTGGGACTGAAAAGAGGAACCATCACAATTCCTGTGAGAAAGAAAAATGGGAGAAATTTAAAGAAACCAGAGTGGGGCACTGAAGAGTCTTCAGATGAGCTGCGACTGAAAAAAGGCACACGCAAGTAAAGGAGGAGGAGGAGGAGGGCATTTTACGCGTTACCAAGCAAAAGTAAAAACATGCAGCCATTATGTGTAGGAAAAATGTTGAAAAAGCACTCTCTAACATGTCTACTCTGGACAGTTTACATATAAGATAAAAATAAACTAAGGTAAAATCCAAG